TTTCCATTGTAGTATTATAAGCCATGGTCTTGTTAAATTGACTATCATGTAGTCAAAGTGTTTTCTCTCCTTTTTTTTTTTTTTTGTATTTAGGACATAACCACAGCCAGCTTTTGGGGATCATGTCCACACGATGCAGAAACAATCAGCGAAAAAAAAAAATTTCATTATGTCAATGACTATTTTGAATATAGTGTCCTTTTCATTGTGTCCTATGAATACAGCATCCTGTTCATTCATGTGAACTGCATTTAAAAAAAATATTTTGTTATCATGTAATAGCCTCAAAATGCCTACCAAGCAAGTGTAAATTGCTAGGGGAAAAGCTAATTACATTTATAGTTACACCCAATTCTTTAACTTAGTCATCTTCATAAAAGTGATACATTTCTAAGTGTTTCTGCTTATGTAAATTTTGCTCTCAATAAAGTCATGGAGTACTTTCATGTATTTCAGATGGAATACTTGACTACATATGATATGTTGGCTAAAGGTCAGAAAGTGGTTTTGCAGAAAAGCTAGGCTTAAAAAAAAAGAAAGAAAAACTAGGCTTGCTTCCACTTAGGGACTGGACAGTATCATTTAATGACGTTGAAGGATAGGAAGAGGACCTGAAGGGAGGATTTGGGAGAATTGATGTGTCTATCTCCCATTCTTGGGTTGTCCTGTATCCCCTCAGGGATTCCTAGATCACTGTGGTGCTGCTTCTGTATTGGCATGGTATCTTGGCTTTAGCCCTCACCTTTTTCAGAACTACCTACAGATGTTAGTTTATAAAGATGAATGGAATGGGCTTAGCAGATTCAGTTCAGATGTTTGCTTCTGAGGATGCCATATAGGATTCCATTAAGAAAGTGAGTATATTTGAAATAAAGTGAGATGGTCAGGCTCTACAATTGAAAAAGCACCTTCCTCACAACAACATTGTGAGGTGCATAGCAATAAAAAGTGTTTTTATTCCCATTTTAAAGAGGAGAGAAAACTCAAGATTAAGTCATATTTCCTGGATCATATGGCTAGTATTAGAGTAAGAGCTTGAACTGGAGTTGGCCTGACTTCAGATCCTGTATACCAAACTACACTTCATTGAACTGAAGATTTTAATTTTCTTAGCATGAATTACAGGCACTAGAGAAGAGACCTCTATTTAAGGGTTATTTGAGGCTCTGTGGAAATGTTAAGGGATGATGGTATTATAGTAATGATCATGCCACTGCTATTTTTCTGTGGAACAGAATGTGGTCTCATTGAGCATATATTACTGATGCAAATATTGCACCAAATGCAAAAAAAAAACCACAAACTACAACTTAATCATTATATCTTCTAGTCTTAATAAAGTAGTCAATCAGGGGCAGAGAAGTTAAATCCTGTGCTTTCTATTTATCTAGGCAGTGTGGTGTGGTGAGTAGAGTGGTAAACTTGGAATCAGGAAGATTTAGGTTTGAATTCTTCCTTAGTAACTTACTATCTGTGTGACCTGGGACAAGTCACTGAACTTATCCCAGTTTCTTCATTTTTAAAATAAGGGCATTGCATTTGTCCTCCAAGGTTACTTCCAGTTTTAAATACATGATCCTGTGAATCTATTTGGAATATACTTATAAGTGTGCACATATCCACTGATTATAAACTATTTGAGATCAGGGACATTTTTATTTTTTGACTTTATATCCTCAGCACATAGCCCAGTACCTGACCCATGGTAGGTACTTAGTAATACTTTTTGAAGGATGGCTTATTGATTTTCCAGTGGAAAATAGGACATTGTGAAAGATGGGCAGAAATATCTAGACCCTGTTATAAATGACTTGATGAGCAGATTCCTTGAAGGCATCAGAAATTGGAAATCGTTCTTTTAAGAGGTTCAAAATCATGGTTAAAAATGTGTGGGCTCTTTTGAGAGACAACCCCTATAACATTTATTACCAGATGAGACTGTGGTAACAGCAATCATTTCTTTCATTTTTACTCAAGTGATATGGACTGAATTTTATTTTTAGCAGTTTACTATAGTACTTTGTGGTAATAGTAAAATTATTTTACTCCAATTTGGGGACAGGTACAGATCAAAAATGAAACCTATAAGTGATTTACCAAGGGAATTTATTGGAGTCAGGATGGTATGGTGAAGTGGTTCTCAAACTTTTTGGTTGTAGGACTCCGTGCCCCCTTTACATTCTTAAAAGTTATTTATGACTCCAAAGAACTTTTGTTTATGTGGATTATAGATATCAATACATTAGAAATCATAATATCTTAACATTATTATGAAAATAGTTTTGACTTTATAAAACCGCTGGAAGTATCTCTCAGACCCTCAGAGGTTCCCCAAGCCATACTTTGAGAACTGCTGGTTTAGTGGGTTGAACTGTGGACTTGGAGTAAGGAAGACCTGAGTTCAAATCCTCAAACAAACACTGGGTCAAATGCCTGTTCCAGTCATCTGACTTTTCTAACCTTTAGGGGTCTTCAGCTGTAAAATGGGTTTAATAGCTTCTTTTTCACTGAGGGATCAAATGAGATAACTTGCATATAGCTTTTTGTAAACTTTAAAGAATTCTCTTTGTTGTGCAGTTGAGTCTGACTCTTTGTGACCCTATTTGGCGTCTTCTTGGCAAAGATACTGGAGTGGTTTGCCATTTCCTTCTCCAGCTCATTTTACAGATGAGGAAACTGAGGCAATTGGGGTTAAGTGACTTGCCCAGGATCACACAGGTAGTAAGTGTCTGAGGCTGCGTTTGAATGCATAAAGATGAGTCTTCCTGATTCTAAGCCCATTGCTCTATTTACTGCACCACCTAGGTGCCTGATTCAGTTGTCCAGTTTCATGACCCTATTTGGAGTTTTCCTGGCAGAGATACTAGAGGGGTTTGCCATTTCCTTCCCCAGCTCATTTTACAGATGAGGAACTGAGACAAACACAATCAAGTGACTCACCCAGGGTCACATAGCTAGTATGTGTCTGAGGCTGAATTTGAACACAGGCCCTCCAGACTCCAGGCCAGGTGCTCTATCCACTGTGTCATCTAGCTGCCCCAAAGAATTCTCTAAATGTTAGCTATTATTAATAGGAAGTTAGTTTCCTCCAGAATTAGAATTTAGTCTTTCAGTTATCCACACACCTCTTCTTATTCAGATGGAGTACAGAGGTATTTACAAAAAAACTAACTCAAAAATGAGAAGTCTTTTCCTTTATTCAGCAAATACTAGGGTAGCTACACTGTCTTTCATTTAAGTGAAATTAGGAGGAATATTGAGAGAAGCTAGTTTGGAGAAGAACAAGGAAGCCAATTCTGAACAGGTGTTAGACTGCAACAAGATGGCGGGCCCCATCAGAGCAGGGAACTGTGGAAGGCCTTTCTGGAGTAGGAGATTTCAGGGACCCTTCGCTTATTTCCTATGTGTTATTTCATGTCCTTTTTGGATAACCATACACTCTGGAATCAGTGAAATATATTAAAGAATGGCAAAGTGTAGAAATAACTCTGTGTGTGTGTGTGTGTGTGTGATATTTTTAGGTATTTGACTTACAGAAGAAGTGTGGTAAATTCCAGCAATGAACTTCTTTAATAAGTTATGAAATATTAACACTTCACCCATAGGGAACCTATACACTTGATAGAACCCTGGACCTAGAATCAAGAAAACCTGATTCCAAATCCAGCCTCAGAAACTTACTAGCAAGTCACTTGACCCCTGCCTCAGTTTCCTTATCTGTAAATTTTAATAATAGCATCTACCTCCCAGGGCTGTTATGTGCATCAGTTGAGATAATAGGTGTAAAATGCTTATAAGGCACAGTGCCTGGCCAATAGTAAGCACTTAATATGTTGGCTATTACTGTTGTTATCATCATCATCATCCCTATATCCCAGCTATTTGAGTATTATGTTAGATTTATAGCAGTTTTTCAAGTGAAACATTAAGCTGTCTTTTACATGATTGAAACTAATACCTGTATGTTTTGAGATTTTATAACAATAATAAATCAAAAATCAATTATACTTGTTCTAAAAACTTTTTTGTACTTTTGGGAAACAGACCAAATTTTTTTCTTACGTTACTTGTACACAGTCTACTTAAGCTAACAATGAAAGTAAAGCGGGTGAACTGTCTTGTGTTTTGTATTTTTTTATCCAATCTTGCAATTTCATTGGTAAAGGAAAAGTAACATGCATACTCAGCTCTTACCAATGCAGCAACTCTTCTGGAACTTACTATTTTAGAGAAGAAATTCTTAACTTGGGTATCTGTGCGCTTGAATAGAGGAGAAAAAAAAATTTATTTCAACATAATTAGTTTTCTTCATAATCCTATGTACTTTAAATTTTATGCATTTCAAAACATTATCCTGAGAGAGGTCCGTGAGTTGCACCGTATTGCCAAAGGAGTCCGGGACAGACACAGAAAAGTTAAGAACCCCAGTCTTAAGTGCATCCTCAAGAGGCACTGATAGGTTCAATGATTTGCTTCTGGTCCTACAGTTAAGGAGTGTTAGAGAGAGGATTTGAACCCAGGACTTTCTGTTTGTTGACTCTAACCATTATGGCATGTTGCCTTCTCTTGTTTATATATGTTGATAAACACCTACATCTTTACTCATTTATATGAAATGCCTCAGTGTACCTGAATTTGACTTAAAATATGTATATATATTCTGTGGCATGTCTTTTATTTGTAGTGCTTTCCTACTTTAGTTTTTCATGTTTTTGAGAAACTTAGGCAACTTAAAAAAGCAAAATGCACATTGACCTAGAATTGGTTTGTTTTAGGCTTATAAGATTTGAAAGCTACCTGGATTCTTGGAGTTATTCTAGTCTAGAATCATTATTTTGCATATGAGGAAATTAAACCTCAACAAGGTACAATTCACTGGTCCAGAGGGTCGCAGCAACTCCGTGTCGGACCCAGGATGCCATCCTCATGGCATATATGTTGTTGCTTGATTTTTCTGTTTTTCTCTATCTTTAATATATGATTTTGTTTCTGTTTTTCAGTTTAAAAGAATGCTCAACCGGGAGCTCACCCACCTTTCAGAAATGAGCCGATCTGGAAACCAAGTCTCCGAATACATCTCAAACACATTTTTAGGTAAGACCAATAATATGGGACTCTCTGTTCATTTATGCTTTACAGTTTGGACTCACTTCCTTCAGACAATAACTGAGGAAACAGTTGCATTTATTTTCTTTCACCCTATTACCCTCTTGGCGTAAAGGAATGTAAAGAAGTCAGATCTTGTCCTTTTGCCTTCCATTGTGGGTTGTCTTCTCTTGAGTATGTGCACTTAATATAAAATAATAGCTGGCATTTATATTGTGCTTCAGGGTTTGCAAAGCATTTTCTACATATTATCTCATTTTATTTGATCTTCAAAACATCCCTCTGAGGCTGGTGTGATTATTATCTCCATTTTCTAGATAAGGAAACTGAGGCAGAGAGTGGTTAATTGACTTGCCCCTGGATCACCTAGCCAGCAAGTCATTAGAGGCAGATGCAAATTCCGGTCTTCTTGCCCCCAGGTCCATCTCCAGGTCCAACACTCTATGTACTTTACCACCTAGCTGTACTTTGGGTATACCTTAGAAATGCTCTAAAAATGAGGTAAAAATGCTTATAAGGGTATTGCTGGGTTTTCATCTAACTACATGTTGTATAGCTAACTATGAATTGAGAGACAATGTGGCATCATGGCTAGAGGGCTGACCAGGAAAACCTAGGCTTAAAGTCCTACCTTTAATACTGACTTCCTGAGCCTGAGCAAGGCATTTCTCAGTGCTCTAGTGTAGACATCTTTCTAAGACTGTAAGGTACAGAGAAGACTTGGGTCTGCTTTGGTAAGAGGGAGTTAGTTTCCTTACCTGCAAATTCCCTGTATCTGTAAAATCACAGACACAGGTCCTGTCCTTATTGCTAGTATAAATTAGCAATATATAATTAATTATATTTTTGTATGGGTAAATAACAGCATTGTAGTATTTAGAAATGTAAGAAATCATCTAGCCCAATCTTCTTATTTTACGTACAAAGAAATTGAGGCTAAGAGAGGTGAAGCCATATGGGTATGGTCAACATAATGCCCTCAACAAATAAACAGTGTCATTATATAAGAGAAGGAGCACAATCAGAGTAAGGTTTTAAATATTTATCAACCACTTGGTGAGGAAAAACAGTTTGTCATAGATCAGCCTTAACTAACTAAAGATATATTTCTAAAAATCCTTACTCACTCTGTTCATTCAGTAAATATCTAGGGCGAGAAAATTCCATCTGTCACAGAAAATATGTAGTACACATTTTAAGGTTCTTATTTTAATGAAATCTAATTTGAATAACAAAAGCCCACTGACACAGATTACTGGGAATGATTGGTACATTGAAATTTCCTGTCTGGAGATAGGAAAGTTGATAAACTAGACTGAGTCTCCATCTGAAAAGACCACTGCTATGAAAATATCTTCATCTAAGAATTCCTGACTTTGTATTAGTTAACAGGCTTGATTTTGAGAATAGTCTACCAAAATATAGTCTCTTTTCTATGAATAAAAAACAAAACAAAACAAAACACATGAAGTGCTATTATCCAGTCCAGAAAGAAAAAGATTGATCAGCAGTGTATAGATTTAGGTTAACATGGAAGTCAGCTTTAAAGGTAGCACCTTTACTCTGTCAGATTTAGGACCTTTGTAAAAGCATAAAATGAGATAGTCCTTGCATATGTTGGTCCTCCCTTTTAATAGAGGATTGTGGAATGACATGACGTGACAACATGCCATGGAAAAACTTGGTGAAAAGAAGACAAAAAGATTTTCATCTTTATAGTTGCATCATCTACTAGGAAAAGTAGAAATGGCTTTAGAAGCTGTTATTATTCAATACTTTGTTGAGCAATATGCCTTTCTGTGTTTATATACAGTTAAAATATTAGATGTTGAATCAGGAAACAGCTCTTATAATTTCAATTGTGTACTTCAGAAAAAATGTTGGCTCCAGTATGGAATATAAATCATACTTTCAAAGCCTACCATTAGGGCGGGGAAGGCATTTTCTTCATGTGCCTTATTTTCCCTATACAACTTCCTTCAGGAAGTTAAAAATGGAAATAGAAATGGAAAAATTAGTCCACAATCATTCATTCAACAAACATTTTTTGAGTATTTTGGCAGGTGTTGTGGAACATACAAAGATAACAATAATACCTGCCTTTTTTTTTTTTTTTGAGGCAATCAGGGTTAAGTGACTTGCCCAGGGTCACACAGCTAGTATATGTCTAAGTGCAGATCTGAACTCAGGTCCTCCTGACTCCAGGTCAGTGCTCTATCCACTGTACCAGCTAGCTGCCCTTCCATTGAATTCTTAAAAGCACTTTTTTTTTGTAAATAACAATTAAAAAACTAATAACTCCTGAGATTGCTAGGAGCTAAGGCAATGATATATGTGAAATGATATTCTTCTCTTGCTTTTAAGAGTAGTGTACTTATCTGGGGCACTGTCTTTGAGGGAAGGGGTAATATATAATGCCAATGATTTTATTAACAGGATGACTCCCATCCTCCTTATCCAGAAAATCTTTTCTCATTGTTTTTTAAATTAGGAAATACCTTTGAATTCTCTAGCAGTGTTGGAAACCTTTGAAGCATGTACACTTTATGTAGATGAAATAAATCAGCTTAGAAGTCCCTCTTCCCTGATAGAAGGACATTTTGAGCTTGACTAGAGCCATCAACATCAAGATTTACATAACTTTAGCCATTATTAAAGTGCATTGGGTATGCCCCCTTTAAAAAAAAATCCAAAGGAAGGCACATAAGGAGTTCAAAAATGTAGCTTAAAACCTCAATGATAAGGGGCCTTTTTGGAGAGAATTCATGATCACTTCTAGTGAGTATTGGGTATTTTCATTTAGGAAATATAAAGCAACAGAAGCAAAATTGAATTCATCTAAAATGCAATTTCTGTTCCCATAGTGTGACGCTCTCCAGTTAACTGACTTCAAAGCCCACACTCTCCCTTTTTATGTTCAAGAATGTTCTACTGTTTGAAAGCACAAACTGTGAAAGAGTTTTTTTTTTCAAGTGGGAAGGGCATTTTCAAACTACTAATTGAATTTCAAATGGGGGTGAGGGTGGGGGAGGGGAGGGGAAGCCCAAGGCAATGATGAATGGAAAGGGAAGGCTCTCCCAGCAACTACTGTGTTCAACTCTGTTTACTCTTTCCTGTACCATTACTTTATTAATGACAGGAATAATCTGTATGGGTATCCCACCTAAAACATAAAATCCTTTCAATATGAATCACATGTAGAATATAGCTTAACAGCAGAATACAGTTTAGGATCCAGTTATCCTGATGTATGATTTGTCAATTTAAATCAAAATTAAAGTTCAGTCACTTGATGGAGTGAGCAGAATTAAAAAATAATCAAAAGATACAGCATCAGTTTTTTTTAAACCATTTACTTTGTCCAATTTTCCAATTATACTGAAGTTTGAAAGTATAATAAGTACAGTTAGACAAAATTATATCTAATAATGCATTATATTGTGCTTCATTAACACTAATTTACTCAGTTCCCACCTCATAGTCTTGCTTCTAAGACTTTTCTTTCTTCAAACAGTAACCTTTTTTTTTGACCAAGTGAGAAAATGTCTGCCTTTGGATTTTTGTACTTATCCTTAAAGCCCATCTCAGATACCACTTCCTCTGTGAAGTCTTTCTTGATAGTAAGACATCATCATCATCATCATCATCATCATCATCATCATCATAACAAATTTCTAGCCAATACGAAATCTTCCATTCAGAGGACTTTTTTTTTTTAGTATTTTTAGGCATTTATTAAAACTCTTTTTACTGATGTCTTCTTAAAATATCACCATAGTTTCCTCAGTATCCCTTCTCCTCTGTCCCCTAGAGAGCCATTCCATATAACAAATTGTAATTTTTAAAGACCAAAAAAAGGACAAAGTCAGCATAACTGATCAATATGCGTAAAGTTTGATAATATATAAAATATACAACAGTTGTAGATCCCTCACTACTACAAAAGAATGGGGTGTCTTCTCTTATCTCTCCTTTTGAGCCATCCTCATAATTTTACAACATTCATTTTGGATCTTTTCTTTTTTAAATGGCAGTCCTTTCCATTTATATATGTCATATCCCCCTTTTTGAGCTATAAACTCTATGAACTCAGGGACTGTTTGATCTGCCCTTTTTTCGTATAAACTTTTTTATCTCTATGTAGAACCCAACACGTGTTATGCTTTTCCCCACAAACCCTTTTCCCACTAGGTACATTATTAATATTTATTGTACTGAAGAATAAAAGCAACATAATTATCTACACTGACCGAATATGCAGGTTTTTATATTTAAAAAATAAATTTAGTTCACAAGTTTAAAATCTGGAAAAAGCCCAAGGAAGAAGCCCTGTGCTCCTACTACCCCCAACTCCTCCAAAAATATTAATTTTGTTATCAAGTATATTCAGGTTTTTATTTCCTGCCTTTTTTTTAAACAGTGAAATGATTATCATGATTCATGAACTTCTAATGAAATCAAATTTTATTTTCATGTTGTACATATCTAAGTGTATATATGTGTGTGTATATACATACGTGTGTACACACACACACTTCAAATATACTTGCTCACTTGATATCTGATACACTCAAAACTGGTACAGGAAGATGCAGTTTATGAGTTACTGTCTCTTGTTTATTGTTGTATCCTCTTTTGTATATTTGGTTACCGAGTATAGATTTAATGACAGATTTGCTTAATGTAATCCCCTAAATTAGAATTTCCTTGTTGGGTTTTGGGAAGCACTTAGTGGGACACGTTGTGTTCAGCTGGAAATTGTTTGTTGGATGAGAAAACACAAGGAGTTACTAATGAAAATGGAAATTCACTCCATGATATGCTTATTTTGTTTTAAAGACAAGCAACATGAAGTGGAGATTCCTTCTCCCACCCAGAAGGAGAAAGAGAAAAAGAAAAGGCCGATGTCCCAGATCAGTGGCGTCAAGAAATTGATGCATAGTTCCAGTTTAACAAATTCCAGTATCCCACGATTCGGAGTGAAAACTGATCAAGAAGATGGACTTGCCAAGGTAAGATCATGAAGTCCCTAGGTTACATGCCTCTTAGTGGTTTGTTGGTGGTGATGGTTGTTTTTGAGCACAATAATGAAATAATTTTGACATATATGCTCTCATGCAAGCATGAAAAAGGATTTGCAGATGCAAAATACATTGTTTTTGTTTTTATTTTTAGTGGATGCCATTGGCACATGCCTACATTAGATTATTTGACTTTCATGAAAAGAAAGCCTGTTGTATCTCAGGTTTGTAGGGAGAGTATTATAACATTTTGTTTTATCCATGAATAAGAAATATGTAACACACACATATGTTACATAAGTTACATAAAATTAAAAGTTCATGGTAGTTCTCTTTTTTTTTTTTACAGCAGGTTTGTAAAATGGGAAAGAACACTAAATTTATAGTCAGGAGAGGCTCAGCATCATCTACTTCAGATACTTATTATGTCATTGTGGACAATTCTCTTATCTTCTCTGAACCTCGGTTTCCTCCTCTGTAAAATGATGATAATACCTGTAGTACTCACAGGTGAGGGGATGAAATGAGATAATTCGTGTAAAGTGCTTTATGAGGCTTAAAGTGCCATCGTTTGTTGTTCAGTCCTGTCCGATTCTTCGTGACCCCATTTGGGGTTTTCTTGGCAGAAATACTGGAGTGGTTTGCCATTTCCTTCTCCAGCTCATTTCACACATGAGGAAACTGAGGGAGACAGGGTTAAGTGATTTGTCCAGGGTCACATAGCTATTAAATGCCTGAGGTCAGATTTGAACTCAGGTCTTCCTGACTCTAGGCCTAATGCTCTATCCACTGTGCCAGCTAGCTGCTCCCTTAAAGTGCTATACCAGCTTTTAATATTATTATTATTATTACAATAATAATAGTAAATAATTCTATTCCATTTTGCACACCTCTAATGGAGAGCTGCTTGTACTTTAGAGGAGTGGTCAGTGCTTCCACTGCTCCTTCTCCTCAGCCCACTGGCCTCCCTGCCTCTCACGCTCATCTCAGCCTTCAGTTTTATCTTTCAGGAAAAGCCAACTCTTTGAAAACTGGTGAGGGAGAGGGGAGGTAGGTGGTACAGTGGATAGAGCACTGACCCTGGAGTCAGGAGGACCGGAGTTCAAATCTGGCCTCGGCCACTTAACACTTACTAGCTGTGTGACCCTGGGCAAGTTACTTTACCCCATTGCCTAACACCCCCCCCCCAAAAAAAACCAAAAACAAAAACAAATTGGTGTGGGGTAGCAGTGTTTATTGAAAGTCTACTTTTCTAACCTTTGTTTTCAAATATTCCTCTTTCTCTAACCCTAGGAATTAGAAGATGTGAACAAATGGGGTCTTCATGTTTTCAAAATAGCAGAATTTTCTGGGAATCGACCTCTGACAGTTATCATGCACACCATTTTTCAGGTATGGCAGCTAGAGAACTAGAACAACTTTGTATTCTCAGGGCTGTCTGTTCAGGGTTTAAATTGTATATCCTCCCTGAGCTATTCCTTGATTTTCCATTTGTGGGGGTATTTATTCACTTGCTGTCTCTTCATGACAGGAAATAAATAGAGGAACGGAGGATAGGCAAAGCCCAGATTAGTCAATTTTGTTATTTCTATCCTCTTCACAAAAAAACATAAAATAAAAATGTGAAAAGATTGAAACTCAGTAAAAATCAGGTTTTTAGATAAAAAATTGAATTGAAAATTGACTTAAAAATCAAACCAATTCGATAGAACCCCACTGAATCACCCCAAAGTTGACCTTTATCCCTATCCTTGATTCCCTGTTTCCTTTTTTCTAGTCCATTTTCTCATTGTGAGAACACCCAGCTTCACATATTTAGATATTCATGGAGAGTTGTAGCAAGACTCATTATAGGGCTGGAGTGATCAGCTGTACACTCACAAAGAATGTTAGTCAGGCAATATGACCTAGTTGCTGAAGAAATAGGTATGACCTGCTACTTCTTCCCTTAAAATGAAAAAGTAATCCTTTTGGCATCTATAGCTGATTTCCAGAGACCAAAGAAAGAGCTTTGACCTGGACCCATGTGGTCACCAGAAAGGATGGTTCAATTACGATTTGGTCTTCGTGTGCCCAGGGCTCTTTCAGTTACTTCCTGGGTTCCACTTTTCTGACCAAACATTGTTTTGGTCTCCTCAGCATGGGGTCACAGGACCAGAAGTTTGAATCCTACCTCCACTACTTCCTTCCTCTGAGAGCTTGGGCAAATCACTTATATTTGCTAAGCTTCAAAATTTAAAAAAAAAATACATATTGACAGGTTTTTTTTCCCCTCTTTCCAGGAACGAGATTTGTTAAAAACATTTAAAATTCCAGTAGACACTTTAATTACATACCTGATGACTCTAGAAGACCATTACCACGCTGATGTGGCATATCACAACAACATACATGCTGCAGATGTAGTTCAGTCCACTCATGTGCTGCTATCCACGCCTGCTTTGGAGGTAAAATTCCTTTTTCCCCAGATTCAAGTTTAACCCTATTCTAGATCTCTAGGTCCCTTGTTTATTAATGTCTTAACTTTTTTTTTAACATTACAATCATTTCTCTGCATTCCCTTTCCCTCATCCCCATCTCAGAATTCTCCGTTGCAACAAAGGAAAATAGTCAAGCAAAACCAACCTATTTATCAACTATGTCTGTCAGAATCTGTCACATTTGGCATCTCTTGTCTCCTGAGCTATGGATTCAGCATTAGTTATTGCCCTCTTTCTGAATTAATTGCTTTTAGTTATTTTTATTTATTTATTTTTTAAGATTTATCTTAGTCATTGTGTATTTGGCTCTGCCTACTTCACTGTCACTTCATGCAAGTCTTTAATTGGATTTTCTAGAAATACCTTGTAGAACCAAACCCAAAATTTTTGAGACCATTCTATTAAGGTTTATATGCTATCTTTAGTCATTTTTTCACATTTTGAAAATTCATCTTTTAATCTGTCTCTTCATTGAAGTGACACAATTGTCATCATTTTCATACATAAAAAGGGGAGGTGTGATATCTTTAGCTGTACTCAAGAAAACTTGTTTTCTTTACCTTTTTTTGTCGAGCAGAAAGTAGTTGCTTTTTGAAAAAAAGTATGCTTCAATTTCTACTCAGTTCATCAGTTCTCTTCCTGAAGGTGTACAGCATTTTTCATCATGGTTCCTTTGGAATTGTCTTGGGTCGTTGTATTGCTAAGAATACCTAAGTCATTCACAGTTATCATATACAATATTGTTACTGTGTGCAATGTTGTCATGCGTCTGCTCACTTTGCATCAGTTCATATAAGTCTTCCCATGTTTTTCTAAACCATCCTGCTTATCACCTGTCATTTCTTATAGTACAGTGGTATTCCATCACACTCATATACCGCAACTTGTTCAGCCATTCCCCAGTTTATGGGTATTCCCTCAATTTTCAATTCTTTGCCCCTGCAAAAAAAAAAAAGCTATTATAAATGTTTTTGTACATATAGGTCTTTCCCCCTTTTATTTAATCTCTTTGGGATAGAGATCTAGTAGTGGTATAGATGGGTCAAAGAGTATGCACAGTTGCATAGCCCTTTGGGCATAATTCCAAATTGTTCTCCAGAATGTTTGGATCAGTTCACAACTCTAGCAACAGTGCATTAGTGTCCCTATTTTTGCACATCCCCTCCAGCATTTGTCATTTTCCTTTTCTGTCATGTTAGCCAACTTGATAGGTGTGAATTCATTTCTCAAAGTTGTTTTAATTTGCATTTCTCTAATCCATATTGCATTTTTTTGTATGACTTTGATTCTAGCTTTGTTTCTTCTGAAAACTGCCTTCTCATATCCCTTGACCATTTGTCATTTGGGGAATGGCTCTTATTTTTTTAACAAATTTGTTTCATTTCCTTATGTATTTGAGAAAAAAGGCCTTTATCAGAGAGCAATTAAACTTTATCATATTTTATAGATTGTGAACAAGTAATGAATGGCTTATTCACTCATTCTATAAAATGCATTGGAAAAAGCAACTCTTAATTTTTACTTTAGAATAAAAAATTCTTTAAAATGATTAAGCCAAAACAACAAGCATTTATTAAGCCCTTACTACATGTCAAGCATGGTACCAATATAAATAGTCCCTGCTCGCAAGAAGCTCACATTTTAATGGGAGAGACAATGTGTAAATAACTAGGTATATATAGGATAGAATAGATCAAATGGGAAGTCACAAACAGCCAGCAAGACTGGAAAAGAAGTTGGGAAGGAATTTAGTCTGTAGCTAAGTTGCTGAATCATAGTGTACATGGAGGGGAGCGAAATAGAGTAGAAATGTAATGATGGGCCAGTTTGTGAAGAGCTTAAAATACGTGAATAAATTGTGAAGCAATTTACTATCTCAAATCATTTTAAAGAGAAAAAACCACTTCTAATTATTTTGCTTTTTTTATTTTTAAAGTTATTTCTTTCATTCTGCATTCCTAGTTATCAAGGATGTAAAGCATCCTTACAGTTTAAACCATTTTTGTGAAAACCTAGTTTTTGATAGTGTTATATTAATTTCATCATTGAGAGAGCCACAAAAAAAGAGTTGAAATATTTTTCCCGTGACAGGAGTTAAAGATGCAGATATACATCATTGTTATTACTATCATCACTCAGATTTACCCAGTACTTCTCTCATGACAACCCTGTGAATAAGGCAGTGCAGGGTTAGTATTATTGATATTTTATAAATGATCATAGGCCTGTGAGGCCTTTTCTACCTTCCATATCATGAAACTGAAACACTTGAAGTTTCCTCCTCCTTCTTGGGAAATCCAGTTTTCAGTGCACTAATTATTGTCAAGCTTATTGCCTAAATCATTGATTTTGTCTATACTTGGATTTCCAGGCAGTGTTCACGGATTTGGAGATTCTTGCAGCAATTTTTGCCAGTGCAATACATGATGTGGATCACCCTGGGGTTTCAAACCAGTTTCTGATTAATACAAGTACGTATGGTCGATTTTGGTTCTTTTCTTTGGGGGATGGACAAGGAAGGGGGATGCTGTTGTGGGAGCAAGAAAAAGAGGAGTTTGTTAGTAATAGTTAGGTATTTTGGAACAATTATGTGGAAAATGAGAAAATCAAATGTTTTCTGTACCCCTACACGTGGCCCTCCTTTTTGAGACATGTGACTAATGCCATTTAATCATTTTTCTTTTTAGGTAATTTAATTATGTAAATTACCTTCATGCTGTACTAGACACATGATGTGAATCAGAGCTAGCAAGAGCTGAATTCTAGCACTGCTCTCTAAATAGCTGTTTCTTATTGTTTTCCTGGAGTTAGTTATTCACAAGTGGAAAGCCTGGGGATAGATACAGACATAGGTAGCATAGAATCATGTAGATTTGGAAATTTGTCTCAAATGGAAAATGAAATTAGAGAGAGAATTCATATTAACTTTGTTCTTTATTTTATTCTCTCTGGAGTTTTAATTCTTTCTAGTGTTCTTCCAATTTGGTATTTTTCTTAAGGAGAGATAGAAGCTTCTCTCTTTTCATGTACTGTTTTATTAACAAATAATTTTCTTTTGCTAGAGGCAATCTGTCCTGAGTAGCTCATAACCAGTCTCAGAAATCTAGGCCTTACAATTGGAAGGGATCTAAGAGGTCACAGGATGATGATTAGTTTAGAATTGGAAGGAATCTTAAAAATCATTGAACTCAACCCCCTCACTACATACGAGAAAACCTTAGCCCAGACGTGTCTTGCCCAGGGTCACACAAATCATAAGTGACAAAACCAAGATTTGCTCCTGAGTTTTCTGACTCCAAACCCATTTTTCTTTCTCTGATGCCATGCAGGATGTCTATCCCCAGGGGATTTTTTCTTGCATGGTATGCAGAAATCCTCTCGACAGGGATTGTTCAAATGACAGTTATGAAAGGATGTTCAGTCATAGTAGAAGTTATATTCCTGTGGTGCTTCAAATTAATCAACTGAAATGATGGATTAATTAATCCTACTGAACCAGACGAAGCTAAAATGTAAAACAATTTTAAATGATGTGATTCTTATCAATGAAGTGGAAGGACCTAGATTTGGTATCCCCTGACTTTCATTTCTGTGATTAAAGTCTGTTCATAACCCATATGCACATATTTACAGCATTTTCAGTGCCTAGTAAGAATTTACCCTTCCTACCAACCAGTGCAGCCAAATTTAAAGATAGTGTTTCTGCCTTAACCTTGCTTTGGGAGGGATTAACACACACCATGGGATTATTTAAATCTATTTTTATATCATTTAATAGCCTCAGGGCTACCCTATAGCAAAATGCAATTTAGTGACTCACAAAAAGGAGGATTGGGAATGTCATCAAATTTTTGAGATGTGGTGATAGCAATTGCATTTCAGCAGCCTGGCAAAACTGACTGAGGAGACTGGAGCACAGAACACCATTTACTATTCAAACTATTTAAGAATGGCAGATGTGAATAATCCTTTTCCTGAGAACTCATAAAAAACAATATGGTATTACCAAAGGATAATAGCTCAAAGCAACACAAAAGAAAATACGTTTTTTTATAAGATACTTTATGGATCTTATGTTGCCTTATTTCACATCAGTGACCAGTATTAAACATTTGTTTTCCCCGAGAATCCAGTTTATTTATGGGATGCTATTAAATAAGGACCGAAGGAAGGGCCACCATTACACCAAATTTGAGCGAGCTGTCACCTCTGTGAAATGAGTTTTGATCCCTTTTTTTTTTTAATGAAATGTTAGCTAAGAACCAATAGGATCATAGATCTAGGGCCAGAAGGAATCCAGAGGCCATCTGGTCCAACCTCCTCAATCATATAATGAGGAAACTGGGGCCCAGTGATCAAAATCACAAAAGATAGTAAGTAGTAGGTGTTTTGAACCGAGGTCCTCTAATTCCAAATACATTGTTCTTTGCATTGTATCCCATTTTATATTTAACTTTGCCTTTTAAGAAGAGTAATGTTTTAAAGATAGCCATACAAAAATATCACTCTAGCATAAGAGAGATCACTTGTTGATACTTAAGTTGAATACGTAATGAGAAATAATCTATAACAGGACTGGAAAAATTATATAGATATCAATAATGAGATACTTGAGTGGTCTACAAGTACTGCTCCCTTAGCTTGTTCTAGTTCCCTTGCTTTTGACTGCTGATAGAAATGTCATTTTTAAAAATGAATCACCAAGAGATAAGAGTTAACTGGCTATGTTGGGTAACAATGGGGGCCCTATTGAGTTAGCTGTAATTGATGATGTCATAATCCAAATATCAGAATTATGTGGTTGATTTAAATTTACAGTAAATCCTCTTTGGTCACATGTTTCATGTTCATGATTTCCCTTACTCATAAAATTATAGTTGCAATAATTATAGAAAGTAGAGGCAGCAAGATAGCACTGAAAAGAACACTAAACCACGAGTGAGGTGGCTTGGGTTCCTGACATAATTCTGACACTAACTAGCTGAATGACCTTTGGCAAATCACTCAGCCTCTCTGTGAGTCAAATTCTTCATTTAATAGAATGTAATTTCCTCGAAGTTAGGGACTCTTTCTTACTTTGGTTTTGTATCCTCAGCACACAGTAAGAGCCACTTAATAAGCACTTGTTGAGTATTTCAGCACTCATATACTTTGCCTTCTGACCCAACTAGGCTACTTTGAAGTCCTTTGAATTTGGTATTCCCTCCATCACTCACCTCCAGATTCCAGTTCTGTTAGCTTCTTAGAGCTATTGGCTTGCTTCCCAACTCAGTAGAAGTGCCTTATTTTCTATAAGAAGCCTTTCTTGATCACCCTTGTTGGTAGTTCTCTCTCACTTCTCGAACTACCTTGTAACTAATTTATCTGTTTAAATATTGTATCCCTCAGTAGAATGTTTGCAGGAACTGGGTTTTCTTTTTGCCTTTGTGTTTCTAGAAGGTGGCACAGTACCTTACATATATGAATCTATGACTAAGTGCTGAAGAATTTCAAAGGCAACAGGGAATCCAAGACTGCAGCGTGCAGTTGACCCATCATTAATTTAATCTTTACTTGGTAATTCAGGATCATTAGTATAACATTTGAAGTCCCTTTCTCCTCTCATCCAAAGGCCCTCATACAACATATATAAAACGTGTTCATCCAGTTTTTCTTGGGGAATTCACTATTTCATGAATAAGTCAGGTCAAACAAGATTAATATTTATGAAGCACTTAACATGGTGTCTGGCATATAGTAGGTACTACATAAATGCTCATTCTCTCCCTTTCCACTTTAGAGTAGCACTGTTACTATGTACCCTTTCCTTCTTCTCCTCCCCCCATTTACTTCTTTGTAACTTCTTCCCCTTTTCTTAATTCTGTCCTTTCTGATGATTCAGAGGAAGTAGCTTTTTGTGGAGGTTATACATGTCATCCTCCTAAACAATTCTCTTCTATGGTTTAAACATGCTGAGTTCCTTCAACCAGTTCTCATATGGTATGCTTTTCAGGCCCTTCACCATCCTAGTTGTCATCCTCCAGACCCTCTCTACTACTTATACATCTTTTCTTATGTAAAGGCTTGGCCTACGTGCATGCTTTCAGTGTGTTAGTCACATGTGCCAGTATATTTTGGACACCCTCAAACCCCAAACCTTACACAGTCATTGAGTAGCATTGAACCTTTCTCTCTAGCTAATCATTGCCCTTTCTAAAATATGGTGCATGCAACTGAGAAGGACTTTAGATGTAGGCTGACCAGATCAGAGTAGAGCGCTACTAACCACCTTAGTCCAGGTTATCTCCTGGGTCACCATATTACAATATATTAACTTATATTGAGTTTGAATTCCATACTAAGATATGTTTTCAGCTGTCTGATCAATAGCTATCTAGTCATATCCTCCCTATCCTATATGAATTTGTGAGGGCATGAATTAAAAAATATTTATTAGGCCCTTAATATTTGCCAGACACTTTCCTTACTGTACTTACAAAGTTGATTTTTTTTTGAGTGTCAGGCTTTACTTCATTCTTAACTAGATTTCATTTTATCAGATTTTGCCCCACTGTTCTAGTGTCTCATTATTTTTCTGGATCTAGACTCCATCATTATTAGCTATTCTTCACATCTATGGCTTCTAATTTTACATTCAAGCAACAGTGACTGCTTTTTTGGATTCAGCCAAACTAGTCATCCAGTTCTAAATCCATCTAATTATACTATTGTCTACCCCACATCTCTCTGTCTCATGAATAGCATGAGTGATTTTGTCAAATGTTTTATTATACCAAAGTAAACTATATTTAACATCATTGGACTCTTAATCTTACCATTATAGTAACCCTGTCAAAAAAAAAAAAAGACATCGTCATTCTGACACGACCTGTTCTTGATGAAGCTAAGTTGACTCTTTGTGATCATTACTTGCTTTTCTAAATGTTTATTAACCATCCCTTTAATAATATGTTCTAAGATTTTTGCCCAGGATCAGAGTCAGACTTATAGTGCACACAATCAATTTGCTTCATTTTTTTTTAAGTTCAGGCTACCCGTGGGCCTTTACCCCTTTGTTGTAGCTTCTCTTATTCTTCACAGTTTTTCTAAGATCATTGATAGGGTCTCAGAAAACACATCAAGACTTGGTGACTTGAACTCAAAAAGGGCAGCCATCTCTATACTGACTTTGAGTTTCTACTCCCCTGTGAGCCATTTTTGTTCTGTCATTTCCAGTCCAAAGTTTGTTCTCCTTGACAGAGAAATTAGAGGCAAAATAAGAGTCAAACAGCTCTACTTTTTGTCATCTGTGCTCATCATCCCATTGACCCTCAGCAGCAGCACTATCCTTTTTTTGGGGTCTTTGTCTTTTCCCCAATATGGCTTTAAAAATACTAACAACTCTCTGTGGCCCTTAGGTTTCATGGCAGCCTTCACTCACTGTGAGAGAGCTTCATTGCCCTAGATGCTCTTCTCACAGAACTGTGTCGTGAATCATTATGCCATGGGGATAACGAAGTAATGATCTCAAAGCCCTTTAAGGTGTCTGATTGTTGGACAGCTCTTATTATTATTTATACTAAGTTGGAAATCTGCTTCCTCGAATGTCTGTCCACTGACCTGATTTCTCCTCCCTGGAGCTATGTGGTAGAAAATGTTTACCCCATACAAATAGTCCTAGATTGCCTGTGTTTTTCCTCTCAAAGTACCCACTATGTAGACAGAACATATATGAATTAAATTCATATCCTCTCTCAAGGAGCTTAGAATTTAGGCAAGAAAAATAAGACCATATGCAAATAATGACACTACAAAGCAGTCATGGTAACTCTTGTAGCCCTGTTTTTGGGGCTAAGAGAAAGGAGAGAGAACTTCCAGCTAGAGGGACTAGGGAAAGACTTATGGGAAGAGGTTGTATCTGATCTTGGCCTTGAAGAATGTGTAGGATTTCAACATCTGGAGATTGAGGTTAGATAGGTAAGGAAACATAGATAAAGGGATGGAGATGGCAAGATGCCAGACACTTACGGGGATATTGAGTAGGCCAAGGGTTTTTTTGTTTGTTTTTTGGTTTTTGTTTTATGCATTTGAAGATATATGAAAGGCAATACTATGAGGTTAAGTGGAAAGCTATTTGTGGTGCTTAGAGTGTCAATTATCAAATATTTATTAAGTACCTACTGTGTTCCAGGCACTAGTGGGGACATAAGAGTGAAACAATATGACATTGTCTCGAAGGTTTTGGGCTCCATGATGGGCTCAGAGCTATGTGTTAGGATATAGGCTGGATTAGGAGGCTTATTGGAAAACTGAGTAGTTTGTGTATTATGGTTTAATGAGGCTGATGGCCCTGGAAACTAAGGCATGTCAAAGGGTATCAGCAGCTTCATTCACACCAATTTTTTTCACTGTTCAAATGTCAGAAATGAGCATAGTCTGCTAGAAACCTGATAAGTGGGCTATGAGTATATTATGCTTTTGTGAAATACTTGCTTAAATTTGTTATGTTCTTAAATATTGCAAATATTTAAATTAAATTTTAAAAATAAATTTAGTTTTTTAATTAAAAATTAAATAGTAAGGAAAATATCAGTGAGGTTTCCCTTATGGAGTTGAATTACAGTTCTCATGGTTTTTCTCAGGGGTTTTGTTTTATATTTGAACAACCTATAGTAATAATATTTTAAATGGATGTTTAATTTCTTATGATATGTTTAACTGTGTTGATTTTCCATGGTTCCTATCTTAACCAGGGGTATAGAATTTAGATGAACTGAGCAACCAGAAGTAGTGGGCAGAATTGTGTAGCAGAAAGTTCTGTCACAGAACCTGGGTTCAGGTTGCAGCCTTGTCAATTATTACCTCTGTGACCTCAGTCAAAACCTTTGACCTTTCTGGGCCTAAGTTTCCTTCATCTGTAAAAGAGGAATGCTGGATTGGATGATCTGAGTTTCTTTTCAGTTCTCATTCCATAAGAAACTAATAATCATAATTCTGAATGATAATAATAATGAACATTTCTATAGCACTAGGTGGTACAATAGATAAGAGCACCAGACCTAGAATCAGGAAGATTTGTCTTCCTGAGTTCAGATCTGGCCTCAGACACTTACTAGCTATGTGACCCTGGGCAAGTCACTTCATCCTGTTTGCCTCAGTTTCCTCATCTGTAAAATGAACTAGAGAAGGAAATGATAAACCACTCCAGTATTTCTGGCAATAATTGCCCAAATGGGGTCATGAAGAGTTGGACACAACTGAAGTGACTGAAAAACAACACTAGTAAAAATGAGTATGATAGTTTTCAAGTAAGTGTACTTGCATTACGTAGGGAAAGTTGTTTTCCAGCTCACTTGGGGAAAGAATTAAATGGAAAGGTACCAGCACCCAGGCAGAGTGGATACAGTAGACCTGGCCTCAGAGTCAGGAAGACCCAGCTCCTACATATGCCCTGTAACCCTTAACCTCCAGATGCCTCAGACAACTCCCAAGGATTATAAATTGTAGAGAGGGTGATCACATGGATTGTTAGTTGAAATTTTTCACCCCAGACTTCCCAGGTCTAAAAAGAAAAAAATGCTATATTCACTGATAGTCTTGTTTGTTTTAATGCCCCTAACCTCTTCCTATCATCTTAGCTCTGGGCTTGCGCTACCCATGGGAAAGGTTTATTTATGCAGGATTTCTTCATGCCTAAGATTCACATGTCCAGGAGGGTGATCACATCAGAAGGAATAATGAGGTCATAGAAAGAAAGCTTAACACTAGACTCCCTCTGTGAAGCCCATTGGGGCAAATAGGGTATAGTGTTACTTTACCATCCCCCTCATCACCCTTGTAAGAACAAGTACAACCAGTAGTTGAAGCTTACACTTTGAAAGGCATCTAAAATGATGAAGAAAAAAAATCTTAAAACCAACATTAAGATTTAAATATACAAAATAACTATTTGAATTCCTTAATTAGGATGATTAACCCACAAATTGCAGGATTCCTCCATTTTACACAGCTTAAGGTTCTCTCCCCAGTGATCAGGCACAAAGCAACTCATTTTCTGTAATCTTGCAAAAAATTAAAAATAACAACAATAGTGTTCTAACGCGTAGGGCTTATACTACCATAGTTTTTTGTTTTTTTTTTAAAGAACTGAAAAAAGAGCTTAGAGATGATATATTCCGCTCTGCTCTTATAGACAGCAAACTGAAGTTCAAGAGAAGTGAATTGACTTGCCCTGGGCCCCAGGGCTAGTCAGCAGGAGAGACAGTAATAACCACCAGGCCTCCTGACCCACAGCCCAGGACTCCTTCCACCACTTTGTATTCTCTACTCTCTTCTGTTATGTCAATGATAGGTACGGCCCTAACTTGATTTCAGTCTGGGATGCTGAGGAGAGAGACAGGCCTAACCCCAAGGCAGATCAGTGTCAGAAAAAAAAAAAAAGTAAGTATACTAGAGATAAGCTACATTTATCTTTTTGCTTCCTGGTTTTCTTCCAGATTCTGAACTTGCCTTGATGTACAATGACTCATCAGTCCTGGAGAACCATCATTTAGCTGTGGGCTTCAAGTTGCTACAGGAGGAAAATTGTGACATTTTCCAGAATTTGACCAAAAAGCAAAGACAATCATTAAGGAAGATGGTCATTGACATTGTAAGTAATGCTTCCATCTTCCGCTAAATAGACAGAAACAGAAGGGCAGATTTTGCTAATGTCTGGGGTCAAACCATCTACAGTTAGGTGACAATGCAGTTGGTGAAATGCTGGGTAGGAGTCTTTTCCAAACATCTGCTTGTCCTTCCTTTCCATTGGAGGAGGCCGCCTGGGGCTGCCAGACACTTATTTCTTGTGATGAGTTTTCCACAGTCAGCAGACCTGCTGTTGTTTAGAATAAGAATGGCTGATAATTCATCATTCAGATTTTATCCCCCAAGGACATGCCAGGCAAGCCCAGGAAGCTGTATGTGACTCAGTCCTCCTCTTACCATTAGACTATGATCATTTGGAAACATATATGGGCAATTCATACTTCTAAATTATTAGGCTCTTGAAACTGGAAAGGGCCTTACAGGCCATCTCTTATCCTACCTCCCAGCCAATACCTGACAAATTGTCATCCATATTCTACGTGAATCTTTCAAATTACAGGAGCTTACTACCCTTATAAAGATAACCTGTTCCTAATTATTATTATTTATATTGAATTGAAATCTGCATTCTCCAATGTCCATCCATTGACCCCATGTCTTCTCCCTGGAACTATAAAGAATAACCCTAATCCCTCTCACACATGACAACCTGTCAGGTATCTGAAGACTGTTAGCATGTCACCCTTAAGTTTCTTCCACAGACTAAACATTTTTGGTTCTTTCAATTCTTTTTATTCCCCCTTATCATATGGTTTCCAGAGCTCTCATCCTTCTGGTTCACAGTGTGTCGGCTTCTTATTTTTTTTAAGTGTACCCAGGATTTAACACCTTACTCCAGCAGTGCTTTGATCTACACAGAATTCAGTATATCACCCCTGTTTGGGTTACCCTCTAGCTATTAGTGTAGGCCAGGTAAGACTGGCACATTTTCTTGACTTTCTTGATAAACCCTCTTGACTCGTGTTGGTGTGGAAGTCTACTGAGACATCCCTTATGACCCATGTCTTTTTCACAAACTGCTGCTAAACTAAGTCCAGTCCATCCTATGATTTTATAGTTTACTTTTTGTTTGAATAGATATATAGAGATTTAATATTTATATTATCACTTTAGTTTTGTTTCAGCCTGTCAGTAACTTTGATCAGATGAGATTAGAAACATATATGTATAAATATGTACATAAATACATACATATGTATTATGTGAAGTGTTTTGTAAACCTTAAAGTGCTAAATAAATACTAGCTATTATTATTTCATATAATATCAAAGGCATCTGATGACTCAGTGGATAGAGCACTGGAGTTGGAGTCAGGAAGACCTGATTTCAAATCTGGTCTCAGATACTTAACTAGCAGTGTGACCCTGGGTAAATCACTTAACCCTTTTTGCTTCAGTTTGTCATCTGTAAAATGAGCTGGAAAAGGAAAATAGCGAACTGCTCCTGTATCTCTGTAAGAAAACCCTAAATGGGGTCATGAAGAGTCAGATTCGACTGAAATGACTGAATAACAAAATTAGTATTATTTCATTACTAAGTTTGTTATCCATTCTATGGACAACTCACATTTACTTTTTTTTTTTTCTGCCCTTGTGTACTATAAATCTTCCCTTTCTTGGGCAGAGTCAGATTCATTACAAACTTCATTTAGCCAGAGTTTTTTCTTCCATATTCTGATATGAGTGAGGGGCAGATGCCAAGATAAGCCAGTACCCAGACTTTCAAGTCCACTCAAAGTGGGGGTGGCCTTCTATGTGCTGGCTTGTGATTTCAGCATAGTCAGCTCATGTTTCCAAGCCTAGCATCCAGTTGTCTCAGTGTAGTTACATAGCTTTACATTCCATTAACTTTTTCCTAATCCAGTGGATGATAGAAATTACAAACTAAATAATGGCATGCACATTATTGCCACTTTTTCCAAAGCAGAAGTGGTTAGCATTGCCTTGTTGAATGGTTCTCTGCAGTAAGGTGAATCTCCCCTTATGTTGTGACTAACTTCTTCATAAGATGGCTGCCCCTGTGGTTATCTAGGGCTCCAGAAAACACACAAGAAAAGAAAAATTTCCTTCAAAAGAGCATGGCAAAATATTTTTTGTATATTTTTATGTTTAATAGAATGTTTTCTTCTCTCTTAAGGTACTTGCAACAGACATGTCTAAACACATGAATCTACTGGCTGACTTGAAAACTATGGTTGAAACCAAGAAAGTTACAAGCTCTGGGGTTCTTCTTCTTGATAATTATTCAGATAGGATTCAGGTAAGCTAGCATCTTAGTTCTCTCTGTCCATTGCTCCTCCTTCTCCTCTCCCTACTTTGTGGTTCAAAGCAGGATCTGTCTCCAGGATCTTATTCCTGAGAATTAAGGTTATGTCTGAGGTATCTTTTGGATTTACAGCATTTTCCTTTCCTAACCATATAAACATCTGTAGTCTTAATCCTGCCTGTCAACATTTTCTTCCTCAGCATATCTACGTGGAGCAGAAGTGGGATAAGTCATGTCTATTAATGCAAGTGTGAACACCACACAGACGCATCATGGTTTTGCAGTTCCTAAGAAATCTTACACTACATGTATTTTGAAGCTTCACAGTCATTGAATGTGCCAGTGGAGGAAAAGAAAACTTGATTTCCCAGTGTAATCAGGTAGCAGCTGGTGCTGAGCAGAGAATGTGTTTATCTATTTTAGGTCCTACAGAATATGGTGCACTGTGCAGATCTCAGTAATCCAACGAAGCCTCTTCAGCTCTACCGCCAGTGGACAGACCGGATAATGGAGGAGTTCTTCCGCCAGGGAGACCGGGAACGGGAACGGGGAATGGAAATAAGTCCCATGTGTGACAAGCACAATGCCTCAGTAGAAAAGTCACAGGTAATCATCCATTTGAGACATACCATTGGAGGCTGACAGTAGATGACGTTAAATCTTTAACATTGGGTTGTTGTCCTCATGTTGATGCTTCATCTACAGACCCAAAACATGGACTTTCCTTTTTAATTTTTTTTTTTAGCAAGCTAAGTTTTACATATATGTTTATTACTCAGTTACCTCATTGTCCTCCTGTGACTCATGAAGAAAATAAAAAGGCATTAATCCTGAATACCCTAAACTGCCCAGACTACTGGTCCAGTTGGTCTCCCTGCCTCCAGTCTCTCCCCTCTCGAGTCCACCAAAGTGATTTCCCACACTCCTCTCAGTCATTTCCAGTTGCTTCCTATCACTTCTAGGAACAAACACAAACATCTCTGTTTGGCGTTCATCTCTTCTCAGTCTGGCTCCAAATTACCATCTTAGCTTTATTGCACATTACTACATTTCACATACTCCATGATGCAACAAAACTGGCTTTTTACCAGTTCCTCATACATGGTTCTCTTATCTCTGTGCCTCTGTCCCCCATGCCTGGAATGCACTTCCTTCTCACTTCTGCCTCTTAAAATTTTCATTATCCATCAGGACTCTGTTCAAATGCCTCCTCCTACATAAAGCCTCCCTACTATCCCTCTCATCCATCTATACATTACCTTCTATCTTCTTTGTATGTGTATGTGTTTCTTTTCCCCAATAGAATACGTGCTCCTTGAGGACAAATTCTGTTTCACTTTTTGTCTGGCACACCATAGGCTCTGAAGAAGTAATGCTTGTTGATGTTACTAAGTATAGAAGAGAATTGTCATTGCTTAGTTATACCTCCTGAAGCAGTGGAGCTGAATTTGCTGCTGGTGGGATAGAATATTTGGCAGCACCCACCCATTGTGGAGACAGAGGGGGCTGTTGTGGTATAGACCGGAGAGATCCATGCTACTTACAAGTGCACTTGACTTGATTGTTTAGATGAATTTTCTATATACTGGTCTTCAGCAGGTTAACACAGTGCCTAGAACATAGTAGACACTTAAATGTTTATTGATGGATTGGCTGATTCATCAAGTGGCATTGGTACTTCTACTTGCTTGCCTGTGAAATACTCAAATGGTGGTCCTTGAACTGGGCTATGATATTTGGTGTATTTAGCTTATAAGGAGTGGGGGTGAGAGGCTATAATCCAAAAGATTTTTTTTCCCCCTTCTTTCCTCTTGGCTAATCATTTCTGTGTCCCATTTTTGAAACAGGTGGGATTCATAGACTACATCGTTCATCCTCTTTGGGAGACGTGGGCAGACCTCGTCCACCCCGACGCCCAGGACATCTTGGATACATTGGAGGACAATCGTGAATGGTACCAGAGCACAATTCCTCAGAGCCCTTCTCCTGCCCCTGATGATCAGGAGGAAGGCAGGCAAGGGCAGACTGAGAAATTTCAGTTTGAACTGACTTTGGAGGAAGATGGCGAGTCAGATACAGAAAAGGACAGTGGCAGTCCGGTGGAGGAAGACACCAGCTGCAGTGACTCCAAAACTCTTTGTACCCAAGACTCGGAGTCCACTGAAATCCCTCTTGATGAGCAGGTGGAGGAGGAGGCAGTGGGGGAAGAAGAGGAGGAGGAGGGCTCAGCAGAACCTTGTGCAATAGAAAACGAGCATTCCCCTGACACGTAACAAACAGTATGAAGACTTTTACTTTCTCCTTTTTTTTTTAAGGGAAAAAAATAGAAAATGGTTTCCAAAGTGCATGTCACATGCCACAACCATGGTCACACCTCACTGTCATCTGCCAGGACACGTTTGTCGAACAAAACTGAACCTGATTACTCAGCTTGGCACTCAGGAATATTGTAACCAGGATTTTCAACTCCATGGCATCAGAACAAGGGGGACATATTCATGAAAAGCATTTTAACAAGATCTCAGCTTGGTAGAGCTGATTCAGCAGCTAGGTTACTCTGCCATGTTTTCATGGGAGTATATAGCTTGTCAGCCAAAGGCTGATACGGTTTGGGGTTCGTTTTGTTTTTGTTTATTTTGTTTTGTTTTAAAGTTTTTTGGAAATAAGACGGTATTACATGACATGAAGTTTTGTGAAGTTTTTAGATTACAACCAGAGCAAACTGGGGTTCTAACGGAGGAAACAAGGTGTGATGAGACACAGCATGAGTCTGTTACCAGGAGGAAGATGAGCCACAGAAATTGCGAAATTTTCTAATTTCAAGTCTTCCTGTTATATATGACTGAACAGTGTGGCTCAAAGGGCTACGCTGACCTCTACATTTTGTATGATATGTAAAACAAGATCTTTTGTAGAGCTTACTTTTATTAACATTAAAAGTATTGAGGTATCACCTATTTAAAAATAATACGTTCAGAACTTCATCTACCACTGGTTATTTTTTCCCCCTAAGGAGTAACTTGCAAGTTTTCAGTACAGATCTGTGCTACACTGGATAAATAATTCTAATTTAATTTTTTTTTGGCACCTTAAAGTTCATAGCAATTAGCTGATCTGTAGCAATTCATTGTTTTATATGCCATTGACTTCCATAAAAAACAAAAATCTGAGTTGTAGTAGACCCTTTTGGTAGAATCCAGTTTACTTTGATTTTCCTTTAATTTTTTCCCAAATGAGCAAAATTGTATCTCCCCTGAGCACTTTTCCTTCATAGTATATAGTGAGCAAACCTTGGTTCTAAAGGCCTTCTGTGAGCTTTCTAATTTTTCTAAAAGCAAACTTCACAGAAACATTAGTTGGTTGGTTATGAAGCAAAGCTCGAGATACGCCTCCTCGGTTGTGTGTTAAACAGGAAGTAGAGCCTTTCCTAAGATATGCAAGAAACATGTTTTAAAATGGATGATGCTACATTCTTATGTTCTGTTACAGCCAGCTACCTGTCCTCAGCTGGAGGCTTTGCTGTTGTCTCAGGCTCCTTCCAAACATATTGGAATCTTTGTCCAAGGCAAATAGGAGAGGTCTGTCTGATCAGGAAATTAGAATCATTGTGCTTTAGAAAGAAGTTTTGCACGTGTTGTATTGCTCAATCTTGTATATTATTTGGAACTCAAAGGGAAGTTGTCAGGTTTCTAGAGAAAGGGAATAATTAGTTAGTTGGCTAAGTAAATCATTAGGAATTTTAAAAGAAGTGTCCATACATTGGCAGGCCTGATTGAACCAGTACAATTTGGTTTCTGTGACTTTTGCTGAAAGATTTAAAGCCGCATCTATTTGAGAGCTGAGAAAAACTTGTAGAAGATATTTGCTACCTGCCAGATTTCTTAAATCCATGGTAAATGTAGGAAAGGGCTTCTATCTGGCAACAAATGCTAAAGGCAGAAGAAATCTACCAATTCTTAGTTATGCCTCCTCTTTCCCCCTCACCCCCCAGAAGGGAATTGGTGATTCCACTGATTGAGGTTGGAGGTGGCCTATTTGTCAGGATTAACCCTTGGTGAAGGCAGAGAAGGTGCCATAGGTTCTCAAAGAAGACATTAAGATCCTAACTTAGAAAATGAGAAAGCAATAGGCATCTCTGCTTGGTGCTTGTTGCTTCAGCCCTTAGAAATTTCATTGAGGTCTGAGAGGTTGATAGTTTGAGGTCCAAGGTGTTTATTGAGTAACCATAACCCCAGAATGATGTGACTTTAGAAAGAAAAAAACAAACTATAAACTTCCCTTCAAGTTCTGTTTTTAAAGAAGATCTATAAATAGATGGCCAAGAAAGGAGAGGGGAGAACAAAGGAGCCCAGTAATGGGATAAGAAACAAATAAAACAAAATCCAGCAGAACAAGGACCACTATGAGAAGTCAGATCACAGGCCTGAAGAGTAATTCCAACAGCCTATGTGCTGGCTGGGGCTGGGGCAGCATCTCTCTGGTCTCCCTCCAGAGAGCCATCCTGATGTTTACAAAGCACCTTCTGGTGGAGAGATTTCCCTGAAGTTGATCTAATAGCCCGTTAAGTGATTACCTTCCCCTCTCCACGTATACCTCATCCCACAACAACAAACAAAAGGAAGATCTCCAATCTTACCCTTTGATCAATGATTCCACCTATAGCATTTTGTTGTTGTTTTTTGTTTGGGCTTCAGAGTTTGAAAAAAAAAAGTCTTTCCTACTTACTGAAGGAAGGACAGGCAGAGCTTCCTGATGGTACTGTCTGTGGTTTCTTCTCTTTCCAGCGTGTCCCTTTCATCCCCATAATCTATAGGGCTTTCCCCCACAGAGTGCCTGTAATTTTAAAGAAGCAATATAAGTACCTAAACAGGTACGGACCTGAAACAATTATATAGCTGCACTAAAGGAAAAAAAAAAGTACTTTTAAAAATGCCCGCATGCTGTGAAAGATGACCACAGATGGACAATCGTACCTTTGAAAGGGCCTAACTACATAGAGCTACGGATCTAATGCATCGTACAATCCTCTTTATCCCCCTTTCTTGCCAAAGTGTGCTCGAACGTCACATGGCTACTTCAGGAGGAAAAAAAGAATTCCTTCTATGGGTAGCTTTCCTTTTTGTTTTTTTTTTTTTCATGCATAAGAAAGGGGAATATTTGGGTACTGTAAGGGGATAAAAGAATCCAAGTTTGCCTAAAACCAGTACATTTTAGCTTGCAAGTTACTTAACACAGTAATGCTGTTTTTATTTTCATTGTTTTCCTGGTGTTATTGTTAAAATTCATGATGAGATAGTATAGTTAGAACAAATGGCAAAGAGAAAAAAAAACTTGAATGAAATGGATTTTACGGAAAGCTTTATGGTAATTTTTGAATGCATTATTTATTTTTTTGTGCCATACATTTTTTTTCTCACCAAATGACCTTACCTGTAATACAGTCTTGTTTGTCTGTTTACAACCATGTATTTATTGTAATGTACATACTGTAATGTTAATTGTAAATTATCAGTTCTTATTAAAACATCCCCCATGACTGGGTGGTGTTGGTATATTTGGAAACTCTTGGTGAGAGAACAAATGGTGTGTATACATACTCCTTGTACATGTTTTTTTTTTTTTCCTCTTGTAACATAGTCTGTGTCACCTTAGAGCTTGTTTATGGAAGATTCAAGGAAAACTATTATAAAAGTTATATAAATAAATTAAAAAAAAAAGCTGCAGGTCTTTGGTCCCAGGGCTGTGCCTTAACTTTAAACAATATTATCTTCTGTTTTGCTGCATTTGAAAGTAAGGTAACAGTGGGGCTAGGGCTGGGCATTCCAACCAGGTTACTTTTAGCTGATTGAATTATGAGCAATAGCTGTTTTTTTTACAAAACCACAACCAACTTTGGAAAGTTTAACCCCCTGTTGAAATATTAGCTTCTATTTGCAATGAAACAGCACTGTGGACACAATTCTTCTAGTATCGATCAGCAACGATTTCAATCAGTCCCTTGATTTCATTCCCTTATTTTAAAACACTACAAGATAAACACACTAGATAGCTAACAATAAGAAACTTTCTTGACTTCAAGAGCACATATGAACATGAATATGAAGTGACATGAGAATCACAAATTATATCTACATATAGCTATTTATTTTTTCATCTTCCAAGAGCTATTATTCTTTAACCACTGTTTCCTCATAGAGTAAAGATTATTATTATTATTATTTTTTAGCCCAGGAACTTTCTCTAGTAAATAGCAGCCAAACCTGTCCTTTTATGTATATGAATCTGTCTGCTCACAGAGGTTACATAGAATAGAAATGCACAGAGCAAAAAGCACTCCTCTTTAAAACGTGTTTCAGTATAGCTGGTATTTTGAAATTTTGGAATTTAACCATTTCTGGTGGCCAACTCCTAAGTGCTGCATGCATTTCCTAGTGTAAGATGTGGGTTGCTCTTCTTTCTACCGCTGATGCCCAGCCCTTGAAATATGTGACTGTTCAGTGAAAGGAGAGATTCTTTTTCAAGGGAAAACAGAGCCTCCTTTTTTGACACAAACTGTAGATTTTAGCAGCCCTGGCCCAAAGGAATTTGATTACTTTTGTTTTAAACAGTATAAAAGGGACACTGTAACTTCAAAGAAACAAAAAATCCTGGACAGTTTCCATTGTTTTTAATTTGGTTTTTTCCTTTGGGTATGTCTTCAGAGTGGCAACTTGTATGTGAACATTACAAATGATTCTCCTGTTTCTTAGCCTCTCTTACAGCCCATGGGATAGTACTGTACATCAAATACCTTCATATGAAATTTTTATATGCAATGAAAATAAAAGCATGGGTTGATTCTGCCTAGCTATTTATGACTCTGTCCTTTGCAAATAAAAGATGATTCTGTTTACAGCCATTCCATAAATGTTTTAGGGATTTGGGAAACCTAAATAGTAATAATAATGATAACAAGCATTTTATAGTACTTTAAAGTTTGCAAATCACATTAAAAATATTATTTCACTTCAGAACAACCACGGGAGGTAGGTTCAATTATTATCTTCATTTTCTAGATGAGGAAACCAAGGTAAATGTTAAGTGATTTGACTAGTGTCAAAAAGCTACTTAGTGTCTAAGGCTGGATTTGAACTCGGGTCTCCCAAATTAATGTGTGTATAATTTAGGTTGCCCTAGCCCAGTCGCATCAGAACCAAATGGTATTGACCATTTGTCCTGTAAGAAAAACAAGATCCCCAAATGAATTAAATTTCATGACAAAATATGGTAGTAGTCTTGGTAGTTTATCCAGGGTACCCTCATTGATCAAACATGCAGGTAAACTGGAGAACTGCCACACATCATGACCAGTTTTCAAACATATACTTTGTTAATCTGATAACTGAGGAGGCATTTCAGGTGCTTTGGTAATGCTAGGACCCTGGGCAAGGTTTGAAAACTACACTTCTTCATGTTAATATCCATCCAAAGCTATGAGCTCCTTCTCTATAGCACATAAGATTGGACTGGATGACCATGTAGGGCTGTTGTGGAGACAATCCCTGTTTAAGTATAGATTGGACTAGTTCAACTCTGAGGTCCCTTAGGACTATGGTTCTTTGTGAGGACCTGTCCCAGACTTGGGGGCCACTTGGAACATTGTCTACCCAAATTGTCGATGAGCTTCTTATAAGTGCCTACAATGTGATAATATTTGTCAAGTGCTAAGCCTGGTACCTAGCAGGTACTTAATAAGGGCTCCCCCTCTCCCTTTTTACTTCCTACAATGCACTTGATGCTGGGGATACAAAGATAAAAATGAAACAATCCCTGCCCTCAAAGATCTTACATTCTTTTGAGGAGATATATACATATATAAGCATATGCAAAAATTACTTTTCCAAAGGGCTCATTATGGATATCAAGTCATTATGAGGGGTCGAAAGTCATGTGAGCGTGTCATCTAAAGGGATATTTGGCTTCAAATTCTTGTTGCATAAAAACGTTAAAACTGTGGTTGAATGGATTCTGATGTCATGATATAGTGGCAGAAGCACAGGCCTGGGAGACAAAGGGAACATGTCCATACAAAGAAGGGGTTGCACTAGGTGGTTGCTAAAGTCCCTTTCTCTAGTTCTAACAAAATATAATTCTATGGCTCATACTGGCCTGGCTCAGTGACTAACATTTTTTTGTGACCTTAGACAAGTTACTTTGAATCCATCAATAAGCATGGATTAGACACCTACTGTGTTGTGGGAACTGTGTTAAATGCTGGGGATAAAAAGACAAAAATTAAATTGTCTTTTGCCCTCAAAGAATTTCCTTATTTGCAGCTTTAACATTCCATGGTTTAGGATTTCAGAAGTTTGTGTTTTCATGACTGTGGGTCTTCCCTCCTCCAATCCATGCTGATGGCCATCCATCCACACCTTAATAGATGATTTCTTGAGTTCTTATATTGTAAAAAACAGTAACAACATTTGCGGGCCTTCCTTCTAATAATACGTCTTAGAACTTAGCTAGACATGTTTTCAGACCACAGATATATAATGCACGTCTCTGGGCCCATCTTAGAAATCTTTTCAGCTTGGTACGACCAGGCAGGGCTTGCACTATTGGTCAAACTGAACGTTTGAGGCTGCCCCTAGCATCACAATGGGGCATTGGGTTTTACCTCAGACTTCACCGGATCACCAAATCAATACCCATGGGCCTCAGAAAGAACTTTGTGGCATTAAATAGATTCATTTATTAAATGGAACATGAAGATGTGCTCTTTTTTAGGGTTCTCCTCCATGCATTGTGCTCTGAGCAGCTGTTTGCTGTGTCTGCCCCTAGTTTCAGGTCTGCTTCAGGGTCCCTGAGTACAAGAATTGTTATTAGACAGCCCCGGGAGGAGAAAGCGTTCTGTTTATTGGCAGAGCTTTCTATGTTTGCGTTCTGGATAAACGGGAGCTTGTTAAATTCATATATGTGTATATATATATATATATATATACACACACACACACACACACACACACACACATATATATACATATACATACACACACACCTAAACATATGTTTATGTGTATATATTATTTATATGTAAGTATATTTTTATATTCTATATTTCATTTATATTTAACATACACATACATACATACATACATATATATATGTATATATTTAACATTAAGCACCTGTGTTAGACCCATCAGCCATTGCCTTTGTCAAATGCTCCTCAATCTCCTCCCCGTTTTCATCTGACTGCCGATAGTAGCTATAGCAGTGTGTGATAATGCTAGTTATGGAATGTTTTCATGCCTCCCAGCCTGGCTCCATGTTTTATTTTGTATGGATACTTCTACTGATGCAGATTGCAGCCCTCTAAGCTTCAGTAAATAAACTCTTCAGGAGTTACTGGAGCAGAAAAGTTCACAGCTCTGCAAGGAAAGCTTGGGTGGAGTCTCTCCATATATAGCTAGGATGACAGGCATAGCTGTCACCGGACCCGTACTCAAAACCTTTGCAGCTTACTCTAGTGCCTTCCCTGCTTGTACTCAGCTGGCATGGCCTTGAGAACTCAGGTTGCTTCCGTGCTATGATGAGCCATCAGATTAAGCCTTTAGAGGGAGGAAGGCAAAAATAAAGGAAAGCCACAGTTAATCCCTAAACCAACCTATCTTCAGAGCTGCTATGAGTGGGCAAGAGTACAAATCAACCTTTAAGTCTCTTCATAGGGATACCAGAAGCAAGCTCTGGTTAAACCCTTTCACCACAAATATGCATTAGCTATGGATAAAGGACACCTATGTACACAGTATCACTACCTACATGATATAGTGTGGTCTTTTCTGTTTTTTTGTTTGTTTGTCTTGGAGGCAATTGGGGTTAAGTGACTTGCTCAGGGTCATACAGCTAGTAAGTATCTGAGGACTCTAGTCCTCGGTAAGTAACTCTAGGACCCATGCTCTATCTACTGTACCACCTAGCAGCCCCTAGTATGGTCTTTTCTATGGAACCTCAAGCCTTACCTACTTCTCTGTTTCTGAGATTGGCATATGTTCACCCTTAGCTGCCTCATAGTGTTTACAGTTACACTATTCTTAAGATTAAGCACATTCCCTGCATAGCAACACACGTATTCTGGGCAATTCAAGGGTAAGGATCATGCCTATGGTTTCAATGATATGGGGAACTCCCCATTGAGGAAATGCCTTCAGTAATGTAGTTTGGTACTCTTCTCCACAACTGAAAACTTGTCCTGGTTCACAGAGCCAGTGTGTATGTGCAAAAGGGGTATTTTAACCTGCATCTCTCTGGTTCTGAGGCCAGCTTTCTATGTTACAGCAAATGAAGCAGCAGCTAAAACACTCCATTCCCACCTATGTGTATGTATGCACACATATTGTTCTTTCATTTGTGTCTATGTGATCTCATGGACATCATCTATATGATTCTCTTGGTGAAGATACTGGAATAGTTTGCTATTTCCTTCTCCTATGTCCCCATTTTACAGATGAAGAACTGAGGCAAATAGGGGTTAAGTGACTTGCCCAGGGTGATACAGTTAGTAAGGCTAGCTGTCTGAGGCTGGATTTGAACTCAGATTTTCCTCACTCCAGGCCTGGTGCTCTATCCACTGAAACTACCTAGTTGCCATATATGTATTTATAATATATGTCTCTGTGTATATACATACACACACACACATATATGCATATATGTAGTCCTTTCAACTTGAAAGTGAAATTGTTGTGATTTGATACTTTGCTACTAGCAATAGGAATTATTTTGATTTCCACTTTATAGCTGAAAAAAATGAGGCCTGAAGAGGTGGTGATTTGCCTAAGATCATATCCATACTTTGTTTTATTATTATTTGTTTTATTATTATTTATGATAAGGCCTCTTTTGTCATCTTGTGTTCACATCTGCAAGGTGGAGACTTACCTCTGATTCTTTAAAAAGTGTTTGGATATCAGTGCAACACTCAGGAAGTCTATCTGTTATTCTCTCAGTCTCATTATATGACTAAAATAGTCATCAGTTCACAAGTATTTATTAAATTCTTCCTATGTGCCAGGCCCACTCCATTTTATGATCATTCACATTCTTTCATTTGTTCCTACAAGTGACAATATGTCTGCCATATACTTTTCCATTATCCTTTGCATCACCTACAGTTTTGATTCTGTTGAGATCACACTATTCCATAATTACCAGGAGACTACTGATTTTAAAAGATGAGCTTTTGTGGCAGAGAGCATCTGGAGAGCATTTAAAATTCTGAACCCTTTTCCAAATGTAGTTTCTCCTATTCACTTCTGGATCCAACTTACTGTCCATCAGGAGCTGTCCAAATCTACTGATAAAGGAAGGAGGGAAGGAAAGAAGGAAGGAGGGAGGGAGGGAAGGAAAAAATGAAGGAAGGAAGGCAGGAAGGAGGGAAGAAAAGGAGGGAAGGAGAAGGAGAGAAAGAAAGAAAAAGTAAACAGAGAAAGAAAGAACCCTTGTAACAAATATGCGTGGTCAAGCAAAACAAATTCCCACATTGGTCAAGTCTAAAAATATCTCATTCTGCATCTTGAGACTATCTCCCTGTTGGAAGGTGAGTAGGTAGCATGTTTCATTATTTGTCCTTTGGAATCGTGTTTGGTCAATGTGTTGATCAGCTAAGTCATTCAAAGTTCTGTAAGATGAAAGGTTTGATTTATATTTATAACATGATTATAAAAACCAGGCCCTTCATTTTACAGATGAGAAAATTGAAACCTGATGAGGTCGTGACCTTGGGGATATGACCTTTCCCTAAGTCACAATCTAGTAAATAACTGATGCCTAATCCCAACTTCACCAAGTTCCCCTAATTCTAAATCCAGT